CTAGGAATGTTTGAAGGAGCAATAACTGCAGCTTGCTTTGTGTCATGGCTATGTCAGACTTTTATCCCTAAAAGTTTGATGAAAGGAAACTGATCGAAGTCCCTTTATCTCACCTCGGGGCCTCTATTCTCAATGGCCCCTCCAATGTGGACACCGTCCTCTCATCTGCCCGGCTTCCCTACTTCATTTAGATCACCCCTTAAATATTACCCCCTCAGAATGGCCCTCGGAGCCCACCCCAAATAAAGTAACGCTCCTGGTACCTCTTTCTCCATTCTCTTTATTTTTATTCATAAATACTTACTATCTCAAATGTAAATAGATGTGATATATAAAAATATATGCACATAGGGCTGGGGATGTAGTCCAGTGGTACAGCACTTGCCTAGCATGGGTAAGACCCTGGACGACTCAATCCCAAGCATCTCACACACACACACACACACATGTGTACATGTATACATATGTATATAGAGAGAAAGAGAAAGTTTTATGTGTGTGTGTGTGTGTGTCTGTATACTGTTTGTTTATTTACTTATACTTTTGTTAATTCAGCTGACTCTTCTAGAACCAGTTCCAATGAGACGGGACTTCTATTTTTTTTGTTGTTGTTGTTGTTCACTACTTGTATCCTTTTACCTAAAACCATATCTCATGCACGTTAGGCAATTAGTAAATATTTGTTAAATCATCACAACAATCCAGTAAGATGGAGATAACTATAGGATTCTGCAACATGTATACTCAGGAAAAATGAGAAGTTATATCCCATTTATGTATGATACATCAAAGTTCATAAAGACGTTCTACTGTCGTGTATAACTAATTAAAACAAACAAACAAAAAGGTGGAGATGACTGTTATCCCCAATCTGTAGATAAAACAGGTTAAATTATGTGCCAGGAGTCTCAAAGGTAGTCAGCATCAGAAGCAGGATTAAACCTAGGCCAGTCTGGCTCAGGACCAGCCTCCTGAGCCACCGTGCTCACCTGACCTGCCAGCTGCAGAAAGCCCTGATCAATCCAAAGGCTTAGTGAAGTGTGGAGGCTGTGAAAGGAGCCAGGAATTTGGGGACAAAGGCCACTGGAACATAGGGGCTGGGCAGATCCATGTGACTAGAAGCAGAGAAAGAAGATCTGATCTTAAAGATACAAGAAGAGGCTGAGATGCAAAGAGACCCAACTCCCCGCTAGAAGTTTTTAGCAAAGACATAAGAGAATCTTACTATTGGGTGTGTTGTGAGAAGGCGAGGCCTACCCCTGACCAGAAGAGATGCTTCTCATGCATTTCCCTTTTTGTGTGTGTGGAGGTATACCAAGCATTGAACCCAGGGACACTTGACCACTGAGCCTCATCCCCAGCCCTATTTTGTATTTTATTTAGAAACAAGGTCTCACTGAGTTGCTTAGCACCTCGCTTTTGCTGAGGCTGGCTTTGAACTCTCGATCCTCCTGCCTCAGCCTCCTTAGCTGCTGGGATTAAAGGGACGAATCACTGAGCCCAGCAGCGTTTCCCCTTTATCTACAAAATAGGAGATGTGATCATCTACCAGGGAGAGACAAAATATGCTAAATATTAAAAAATACTAAGAATGAAACAAACACTACAAAGAAGCCGGCCATGGCGGTGCACGCCTCTAACCCTGGTGACTCAGGAGAATGAGACAGGAAAAAAAACAAAAAACCAAAAAAAAAAAACTAGGAAGTGATTAGATCAATATCAAAGGAAGTGATTTATAAAATCTTTCCTACATTAGTAACAAAATCAGTCTTCAGCTGGGCACAGTGGTGCATGCCTGCCATCCCAATGACTCAGGAGAATGAGACAGGAAAAAAAACAAAAAACCAAAAAAAAAAAACTAGGAAGTGATTAGATCAATATCAAAGGAAGACATTTAATACAAAGTGAGTCTT